CGATCAATGTCTCTCTCTCTCTTTCTCTCTCTAAAAAAAAAATCAAAAAAAAAATCAAAAAGCATATCCTTGGGTGGGGATTTTTTTTTTAATTCCATTTCGGGGTATATATCACAAAGGAGTGAAAATAGAATCTCAAAGATATTTGCACACTCATGGAAATTGCAGAATTATTCACAATAGCCACAAATAGGAAGTAAACTAAATGTCCACTGTCAGAAGAATGCATAAAGAAGAAAATTCTGTCACATGCTACAATATGAATGAAACTTAAGGACATTATGCTAAGTGAAATAAATTAGTCACAAAAAGACAAATACTGCATGATTCCACATATATGAGATATCTAAAGTAGTCAAACTCTTAGAAACAGAAAATAGCATGGTGATTGCCAGGGGCTGGGGAGAAAGGGAAAAAGGGAAGTTGCTGTGCAACAAATAAAGAGTTTCAGTTTAGCAAGATAAAAAGATCTAGATATCTGTTGCACAACAAAGTGCATATAGTTAACACTGTACTATACATTTAAAGAATGGCTAGGATGATAAAGTTTATGTTACATGTTTTTTACCACAATTTTTAAAAAATTATATGCAGAATTACTAGTTAGCTTGTCATTCTAAGTAATGTCTTTTAAATTCTATTTCAAGCAGTACTGTAAAAAATATACATTGTAGATGTATTTATATGTACATATATGTGCATATCAGTCACATTTACATATATTTTTCTAAAAATATGGTCATTAAAAATTAATTGTATCCTATATAATAAAAGTGTAATATGCTAAGTGTCTGACCGATCGGTCGACCATTTGGTCAACTGCTTGACCAATTGCTATGATGCGCATTAACCACCAGGGGCCAGGCGCTCTGACCAGTAGGTTAGCTTGCTGCTGGAGTCCGGTCAATTGGGACTGGGCGAGAGGGCTGGACATGCCCTGGATCTGGCTGGCCCCCATCAGCCCCGATCTGGACTGGGTGAGAGGGCCCCGATTGGCCCCGATCACCGGCCAGGCCAAAGGACCCCACCAGTGCACGAATTCATGCACTGGGCCTCTAGTCTATTTATAAGCTAAAGTGTCTATCAAATAAATATTTTACATAATGTAGGCAAAAAAAGAAAGAAAATGGCTTACGTTATATTAGAAGTACTTCTCTTAGGGTTGGTAACCAGCGGTGCTGCTATTGCATAACCCAAAGCATATCCAACTGTTAGTGAAGCTTCCAGCATGCCTATAAAATGAATATTGACATCTAACTACTATATAACCCAACTTTGTCACAAGATAATAAGAGTTACATCACTAAAATGGATTCCTTCTTAAAGCTTCATAGTATACTTTATTAGTCAGGGTTCTCCAGAGAAACAGAACAAATAAGGATTTGTGTGTATGTGTGAAGTGATTTCTGAACTATTTTTATTCACAGGTGACCATCTCCTGTTTTTCTGATCAATATCTCTCAGTGGGAATTATTTTTTCTACTTCCTTTTTTAATTTTTTATTGTTGGCACTATTACAAATAAGATATTTAGAGAGCAAGAGAGATTTTAAGGAATTAGCTTATGCAACTGTGGGGGCTGGCAAGTGCAAATGTGTATGATAGGCTGGCAGATTTGAAATCCAGGTAAGAATTATTATTACAGTCTTGAGGCTATAAATAAGTCTGAAATCCACAGGGCAGTACAGCAGGCTGGAGCAACTCAGGCAGAGTTTCTCTATGTTGCAGTTTGGAGAAAGATTTGTCTCTTTGGGAAACCTCAGTCTTTATTCTAAAAGGCCTCAACTGATTGGATGAGGCTTACACACACTATGGAGGGTAATCTGCTTTACTCAAAGTCTACTGATTGTAAATGTTAGCCACATCTAAAAAATATCACAGAAACATCTAGACTGGTGTTTGACCAAACTAAGCCAAGCTTACACATAAAATTAGCCATCATACATATGTCCAATGCATATACTAGAGAAACTCAGATAATTTAATTATATAATTCACTGTATCTTATTTCATCTATATATGTAATGTAGTATATATAAATATACAGTGGGGCCTTGACTTACGAGTTTAATTCGTTCCGAGACCGAGCTCGTTAAGGAGCTCATTAAGGAGCTCGTTAACTCAAATTACTCTATCAACTCAATGCAAAAAATCAGCCGAGAGACAGCTGGTATCTCAAAAAACTCGTTAGTCGGGACACTCGTAAGTCAAGGTCCCATTGCATTTGCATTTAATATAAATGAAATACACCATATTTCACTTTAATTTGTGGTACTAACACAAGATTCTACTTTATAATGATACATTCTCATCCCCTTTGCATCTTTCATATTAGCTGCCAGGGTGATAAGAGGTGGCAATAAAGTAAACTTCTCTCTGCAGTACATATATGTGAGTTCTGATTGCTATTCCATAGAACCAAAAGTAAAACAAATGTATTTGTTTCTACCCTCAGCTAAGACTAATAAATCACAGCAATTTTTTGTCTAAAAGCATATATATGAATATCAGACATTTTAGTTTATCGGCATGCCTTTCCTTACCTCTGAAGGGAAATTATCTTTTTGACACAAAATACTATTTTCTTTTATGTCACCTTCACAATAAGTATAAAAAACAACTTTATTTTTTTTTCACATATGATAGTTAAATAGATGTACAAATAGATGATCTACTAGGACTAGAAGCTATTGTAATAAAAGGAAGTACAGATTATTCTGAGATAAACCTCAGCGTTACTTATTGCAGAATACATTAGCATAAAACACTGTGAACTGAGGATACTACTCTGTGGTCAATTAAATAGCATATCACTTCTTTCCTTGAAAAGATGAATGAGATTGTTTTCATTAAATTCAAAATATCAGAGCTCCTCTCAAAGATTAGTGAGTTAATTTATGTAAAGAACTTAGAACAATGATCACTATTTTAGCACCACACTGAATCTAGTACTGAAGAGGCATTTATTTCCCCTTATGGACATGATGACAGCAACTTCCTACACATATCCCATAGGTTTAAACATACATCTACTCAAGAAATTCAGTCTGGTTATTTTGAGATTTTTTTTCTAGAAAAATGAACTGCAGCCTATATAATTTGATATGATATATATATATATATATATACTAGAGGCCCGGGGCACAAAAATTTGTGCACTCGGGGGGCAGGGGGAGGGGGGTCCCCCAGCCCGGCCTGTGCCCTCTCACAGTCTGGGACCCCTCGGGAGATAACGATGGATCAGGGTGGGGGTCCCCACTGGGGTGCCTGGCCAGTCTGGGTGAGGGGCTGAGGGCTGTTTTCCGGCTGGCGAGTGACTAAAGCTTCCAACCGCTCCTTGTTTTCTTCTCTTTTTTTTTTTTTTTTTCTGGGCCAGCTTTAGCTCTGAGGCCTCGCTGCTGAAAACATAGATACAATGTTGCGGTCCGAGCCCGGCTGAATGGAAGCCCTTTTCTGGGGTTTTGTTTAGCTTCTTATTTGCAACATAGTATATAGTTGCTTAGAGTTGCAACTGAGAGGCCGGCAAGTGAGGCGGTGAACGTTGGAGTCTGCAGCAAGCAAGCCTCCCTGCTCGCTTCAGTGCCTGGCTGCCGGCTGCCATCTTGGCTGACAGTTAATTTGCATATACTCACTGATTAGCCAATGAAAAGGGTAGCGGTCGTACGCCTATTACCATGTTTCTCTTTTATTAGTGTAGATATATATGGAAAGATTATAGTTTTAATTACTTAAGAATGTATTTTTTCTATTGCTCTATATCTTTTAGGGTGGCCTTCAGATGACTTGTTTACAATTCCAAATCTCAAGCAGCCTTTCAGAATTAAGTGGCTCAATGTGATTTTGAAGTTAAACATACCAGTTACCATTTATTACAATCTATACTAATAAAAGAGTAATATGCTAATTAGACCGGGAGACCTTCCGAACATTCTTCTGGACAAAGCTATGGTGGCGGGGCCGAGGCAGAGGAGGTTAGGGGCAATCAGGCCAGGAAGGGAGGGCAGTTGGGGGTGATCAGGCCGGCAGGAGGGGCAGTTGGGCGAGATCAGGCTGGCGGCGGGGGGCAGTTAGGGGTGATCAGGCTGGAAGGGGGGGGAAGTTGGGGGCAACCAGGCCAGCAGGCAGAGTGGTTAGGTGCGATCAGGCAGGCAGGCAGGTGAGCGGTTAGGAGCCAGCAGTCCCAGATTGTAAGAGATGTCCAACTGCCGGTTTAGGCCCGATCCCTGTGGGGTCCCAGATTGGAGAGGGTGCAGGCCGGGCTGAGGGACACTCCCGCCCTTCATGCACAAATTTTGTGCACCAGGCTACTAGTGTTATTATAAAAGCCAATAATTAGCACCTGTATATCAGTTTAGATATGCACAGCAAAATATAGAAGCTCAATAAAAATAAGGAAAAATAACTTGCCTAGATAAGTACCAATTGAGTGTTCGTCAATGCTGTCATCAAGAAAGGGTACTGTAAGGATATAAAGAGGCATTCCTGCTATTCCCTGCACAGTCAGCCCAAGCATGATGAAAGTTACATACTTTGCATAGATTGGAAAGGATTTCTTGCAATCATCGGAAATCTTCTTTTCTTTGCAAATATCTTTTGAAAGGATAATTTAAATTTTTTGTTAAATGAGTCAAAACTTAAACATACAACAAATACACAGTGTATTTTATGAAATATTTTACCTTTTACAAGATATTTCCACCATTATACTTTTTTCTTTTAGTTAATATTTCATTTACATTGAATGTAATAGCTCTACAATTAATCAACATGTTCTCAGGAAAATGGAATGATAAAATAAAATTTGTGGGAATACTGAAAAAGATGCAAATATTATATATAAACCAAACATAAATGTATATGTATGACTATATGTATATACATACTTGTTTGCATAGGTAAATATACATATCTTAAATTTGGCATCTGGTAACTCTGACTTTTGACTAGGATAAAAGTATCCTTTTTAGATGATCTGAATTATTAAAGATTACCTTCTGAGCTTAGTTCTATATCCACTTCTCTGACAATTAACTTTGTGTGTCACTCTGATTAAAATAATTTTTCATTTTATACCCACTAAATTCTAAAACATAGGTCCACAAGGACAGGCATTATACCAGTGATTTTTAATGAGTGCACCATAAGAATTTTTAAAACATGCAATACCTGACTAGTCAGGGGCACTGACCTCTTTTCCTTTAGATTGTCAAATAAACAAATGACAATAGCCAACACAATAGTAGCCATTCAGTGTGATGAATCAAAATTATACCTATTTATTTTTATTTCTGTAACTTTGTGTTCTCTTCTTTTTTAAAATTGATCTTTATTATTGAAAGTATTACAGATAGCCCCCTTTTTTCCTACTGACCCCCCTTTACTCCACCAGGTTGGCAAAAAGTGTATTTTTTTGGAGTGCCACAGAATTTTAGTAATTAGTTTATATGTGCAATGAGATGAAAAAGGCTGAAAATCACTGTATTACACAATGAAAGTTTTTGTTAGTCATTATATAATAATCCACTAGATTTTAAATTTCTTTACAGGACAGTCTATTTCTTAAGCTTTTTTTTTATTCACGTGTTTATAAAACAATAGTAAATAAATGTTTGTTAGAATTGCATTTGTTATTAGCCTGGTAGATCTAAACAATGCTATTAGATCATTTTGATTGTGTATATTTGATTGGAACTTAACAAATGTTCTGAAAATATTACTGTGAAAAACTGGTTAATGTGTAGATTGCAAAATAGTACACTAATGGAAAATTTCAGCTGGTTCAGTATTCATAAGGAATATTTGATTCCATGTTAAATAGGAGGAGGTCTCTAGAATGTTTATTCAAATTACTGATAATTCAATTTTATATAGACATATCAGTATCAACACCCAGCCAGTGAGTTCCTTGAACTGCTTTCTTCCCATTTAATTGAACTCCACTTAGCAGGTATAAAGCTATTCAATTTAAACTTGCAAACACAATGAACTACAAACCTTCTTTAATTGCAATTTAAAGCATCCTACGAACATCTTTACCTTTCTAGCTCACTCCTTCTAGTAACCCAATGTCACCAATCCCTAAAACCCACCAGGACCTATATAATCTATTGATCTTGCTCCTTTTCACTATCTCAACGTCCCTTTATACCCTTACTTCTTTCGTTGTCATCGTAACACTTTTAAATGCCTTGCTCTCTTGTATGTCATGCAATCCCTCAATGAAATTGCAACCCTAGTCAAGTTAAACTCTTCTCCTTACTCTACACCCACACTTTAAAAACTGAATGTGGCCATAGGAAAACACACAACCATGCAAAACTCACTTTGAATTCATGATTATTAAACTTAAGGAGGTCCTTCACCCTCCTTAATCAAATATATCCCTAGTCTACTACTTTTGCCTCCTCCTAGAAAATTCGGCTTGTTGGTTTCTTTTTCCTAGGGCTTATGGTCCTGATATTCCTGCTATCCAATATCTGAAAGCAAATTTTTTCCACAAATAGGATAAAACTAATCTTTTAGCACCTTTCTTCATATTAAAAAAATCTTTTGTTTGGACTATAGTTTCAAGAAGAAGGGAACAGTCAGTACTACAAACACTGTTGATAGTTCAAGAACTATAACAAGTCAAAAGTTTTAATTATATTAAATAACATGAATTATGTTGGTGGCTTTGTGAAAATAACTTCATTGCAGTGTTTAGGGTTCAAGCCATGCTCAAGTGGGTTGAAAAAAGAATATGAAATAATGTCAGAAAGCTTGGCCATGTCTTTCAAAATATTTGTCAATGAAAATGATGAGATTTTACAAAGTGATAAAAAGAGGACTGCAAGTTATTTCTATTATTGTTTTTGCTTTTTAAGAATGGGAAGAGGGAAAAACTAAGATGGCGGTATAGGTAAACACCAGAGATTGCTGCCTCGCACAACCACTTCAAAAATACAACTAAAAGACATAACGGACATCATCCAGAACCACAGGAAGGCTGGCTGAGTGGAATTTCTACAACTAGAAGGAAAGAGAAAAGCATACCGAGACTCAGAGGAGGTGCAGTGCTGAAGTAAATACAAAGGTGCGGAGGTGCATG